GGGGGGGGGGGGGGGGTGGTTGCGCAGTAGTGAAAACACAACCTGGGCTACGGCTAGGGTTTTAGGGTTCCCTGCTCTCTGCAGGCTCTTCTTGCCTCGCCTTTCCCTCCGCTGAATTTTACCCTGCGGTCAGGAGACCAAGCAGAATCACGGTGTAGATCAGTCACATGCAAGAAATTCGCCTAAACCCTAAACCCTGAAACACAAACCTTAAATCGACTCAATGGAAACCCTCTGCATCTCGGGTCCCCGCCCTTGGAAAAGTCGCTTCACCTCAGGAGGACAGGAGAGTTTTGGTGCCCCAAGATGTCGCAAAGCAGTCTATGTGTTCAGAGGTGTATGTCCTACCAAAACCGTAAATACAGAACACAGTGTGTAGCGATGCGCACACATATCCAAACGTATGCTATATGCTGATATCGATCTCCCAGTCACGTAACGTAGAGTATGTAGGTCGTCAGAAACATCTTCTCGATTGCCAGCACGGGCATGAGAACTAGTCCAAGGTCCAAGATGCTGCAATGCGCCATAAGCGAGTAGGAAAATCGAACTGCTTTGAAAGGCATATAGGGTATGCTGCCGACAGTCGTGCAAACCCTGGGTCGATCCCAGACAGTAAGCCGATGTAAGCCTCTCGCGTGCGGATTTTGCAAAAGCTCGGATACCTGCAGGTGCACCAAGGAGCTCGTTCTGAGGACCCTATAGAGGCCCTAAACGGTCCCAAACTGGTGCGCTGCAGCGGCATGGACCTCCAGGTGGGACTCCGGTGCCAAGCGCGAGGCATAAGCCTAGCAAAGCTGAGTGATGACGATGAGTGGATCTGTCTTGGGCGTTACTATCATAGTTACCTCTATAGGCACCGTTACTGACTATCACAGTTACCACTATAGCCATTACAGTTACTATATCTACTTTTGTCTGTGAAGTCTGTGGGTGGACATGCGAGGTCAGAGGAGCAGTCTGGGAATCAAACTTGGCTTTTCAAAACCTTGCATTCGTCAGTGTGAACCAGCTGTTCTCAGAGCAGAGCCCTGACCAATCCCCCAAGAACTGACACACCGATACACCAAGAATGCCTTGCTGTCCGGGCCTCGACAAAGGCCTGCAAACGCTCTGGAGCCTCGACGAGCCTGCTCATGCGACTTTCAGAAGTCAGAATCTGCACGCATATGCTACAGTGCACTGCACGACGTCACTCCACATGACATAGCATGGCCTCAAGGGACTGACCGAATGTGGCACAAGACATTGCATTGTGCTATGTCCGGCTTTCTTAAACTGGTCTAAAGCCACAACGTACGTGATTGTACTATCTGGTGCTGTGCTGCATATTATGTCAGGGGAGGCACTACAGATGATAACTAGCGACATCGAAGGTCTTCGCGATCATTGTCAGCCCCGGCTTTAAACACTGAGCCGTACCGGAGCCCACTAGGCCTGCGTGGTGCACACCGAATGCGACAACCTGTATCCGACCAAAGCCTGTTCCGATGATTGAGGCTTGGAGTATATGCTACAATCTATCTGAACCTGTCTATCTATCTATACGTATATATATATATATATCTATATATATATATGTATATATATAAGTTGTAAGTATATATACTTGCAGGATCTTGCTGGCATACATGATTGTCAGGGAACATGCCATAAAACCCCAAAGCCTGAACCAAAAGCTCTGATGCTCAAACAGGAACCCCTCTTCGACGAACCCCCATAGGATCGCTGAAATCCCAAATAGGTCCGTCCCTAGGAACCCCTAAATCCAAAAGAGCTCCTTTAGAGGATCCCCTAAAGGAGCCCTTACAGGAACCCTATAGATCCCTTAAAAAGGTCCTGAAAGGAACCTTGTAGATCCCTTAAAGGAATCCTTCCAGGAGCTCCTTTAGTAGATTCCTGGAGCCCTTTGCCCTAAGCTCCGTTTGCTCCGTTGCCTCATGACGATCTGACTACGGCGGAGCTTGGCCTCGAGAGCCCTGCAGTCGCATATCAAGAAGCTTAGGGCGTAGGGTTCATGGTTCCTATTATAAGGCTACTACATGTGTACTGTAAGGGTTTCTCCAGGATTCCAGATTACGAAAAGGGCACTTTGAGGCTACTACAGGGTTCAGGGTTTTGGGCAGGAAATCCGCAGTTCATCTGTGTGTGTGCGTGTGCCTCGGTAGAGCAGCAGGTGACACTGACATTGTTTGCACTGCAACGCTACCACAAGTGTTCAGAATGCTCACCGGGGTGCATGCACATGATAAGACGACGGATGGCTCTGGGCTATAGACAGACCATCGGGCCGGCCTTGTCGGATCTTTGCCCAGCAGCCGTACGAGAGCATGGGCAGTCCCGAAGCTTGCCTCCATGCCAGGCAGTTGGCGCCATCCATGCAAGGCTTCATGGGTTGGTCGCTAACTCAAACGCCTAAACCTGCAGCAGTACTGTTTGGAAGGCTGCATACTATCACAGCCATCGTGCCTCTTATCCTCATTATTGCGGCTCCGCGAGGATGCGGAGAGCACGACGATTCTGTGCCGAACCCAGGGCTTGCCACTTCACCAAAACCCAGGCTGAAGACGAAGGCAGCTTTCCCCCAGCTCCACAACCACGGGCGCACTTCGTGGAGCTGTGGGAAACGCCGAAAAAGGTCGAGGACGAAGACCCAGCCACCTGAGGCAGGCGGTGGTCTTTCGCAGGATCACGGAAGCATCTGGGAGTAGCTGCCATCATGCAGTTCATTGCAGTTCCAATTCCGAGATACATTGGCCCCGTGTTTCTTATGTCCGGACACCCCTCTCATTTAGCGGCGAAGCGGGAAAGATCGAAAGAGATAACAACAGAATCCTCAACCTCAATCTCCACACATGCAAGGCCTTCCAGCACATTGAGCTCGTACTTGTCAGCCGCGGCGAGGGCCTTGAGGCGTGCCACCGGGAACTTGCAAGCTGTCATCTGCAAGAAGTGTAATGGAAAAGTAAATACACATATACATGCATACATACATACATACATACATGCTTACATACATACGTAGACATGCGACCATCCATACATGCATGCCTCCATACCTACATACATATCATGCGTACAAGTGCATGCATGCATGCAAACATACGTAAATACGTACGTGCGCAAATACATACATACATACGTACGTACATACATGCATGTATACATGCATGCATACATACACAGACACACGACCATCCATACATGCATACCTCCATACATCCATCCATACACGCATACATCCATGCGTGCATGCATGCATGAATACGTACATAAACACATACGTGCATACATATGTGCATACAGACATGCATACATGCATACCTACATTCATGTACATGCGTGCACCTGTTCATATATTTACATGCTTACCCTGTGTACATATATGGGTATTCATGCCATGCCTGAATGAATTGAATGTGTGTATGTATGTATGTATGTATGTATGTAAGTATGTATGTAGATACAAAAGCACGCATGTATGCATGCATGTATGTATCTATGTATGTATGTATGTACGTATGCATGTATCCTGGCATGTATGTCTGTATGTTTTGATGTATGTATTTGTGTATATATGATGAGGTGTAGCGTTACAACACCACTGAGCCATGTGCACGCACGTGTGAGGTCTTATCTGTATGCAAAGGTAAAATAAAGTACCCTTTTATACATCTCTATCTATGTAGATATCTATTACTCGTATATTTATGTATTTATCGTATGTATTATGAACTATGACTTGTAGTTTGACCATCACACTACGACTATCACTCCTCCTCCTCCTCCTCCTACTACTACTACTACTACTACTACTGCTACTACTGCTGCTACGGTACTACTACCACTGCCACTGGCACTGCTACCCCTACCACTACCACTATTACCATGACTTTTACGACTACTACTATTACTACTACTACTACTACTACTACTACGACTACTCCTACTCCTACTCCTACTCCTACTCCTACTCCAACCACCGTCCCCACGCCTACCAGTGCCCCGTCGTCGTCGACAACTACGACGACGACAACCATGACTACGACTAAATAGCACTAGCTACCACCACCAATAGTTTAAAACGGTCATGTCAACTGCAATAGCAGTAGCAACAGTACCAACGGTACTGTTTGGTGAGAGAGCTCGATAAATAGAAGAGGAGATGCGAGCAGCGAGGCAAAAGATTGACAGCGGTATTGTCAACACTCAATGGTCATAATGCTGTCCCGAGCTCAGAAGCACAGGTACAAACACGAACAGCGATAGCAGCACTGACCGCATGCACACCAACACAAATCCGTGAACAGCCTGATGTGTACATGCACACACACACACACACACACACGAACATGAAGATGTTACACTGCCTCGCACTGCCCGCTGCCCGATGCATTAGACTGAGTACACATACACACGTGCACACACATATTCACACACATGAGAAGAGGCTCCCGTGACATCTGCTTAGCTTGTTGTCTATCTCAGGTTGAACCGCAAGGCCTGCTGGAGGAAGCTGCTGAGCCAGCGCCCTTTGGGCACATCATTTTTCCAGCGATCCCGGACGAACCTGCGCCCAGGTTGTTCCAATCAGGGCTCCCTTCCAGGGCTTGCAAGCACCTTCTCGAAAGGCATGCAAGAGCGCCACTGTAGGAGTTCTTGACTTCGCGATACCAGTCGCAATCACCAGACTGATCGACCAAACCATCAACATAGGATTCTTGAGCATTCTAACATCAGCCCTGAGGTCCTCAAGCTTTCGACAAGAATTCGCCTTGGCATGCCGTAGGGGCTTGGCTCGGGAACCACGGCTGGAGCCACGGCACCGCAGTCGGGCGGAACACCTTGGCTTTGGGACCTCTGACTCTCGGATCCAGCTCTGCCCTGCCACGCTGCAGGATCTAGGGATTCAGGGCTCCAATTCTGGACTTAGGGCCTTTGGTAGTTTGATGGTCCAAGGCTTCAGGGATTTAGGTTTAGGGCCACCTCTTGTTTTCACAAAGAAGCTCCTAGAACTCCAGGGTTCAGGGCTGGCTTGGGTTTGCTCCAAGACATCCTGTGCTTCTCTTTTGCTGCTGTCTGCGGTTTCTGCTGCAGTGCTCTTTGTTCTCGATACTCTCCACGCGAAACTAACATCGATAAATCTGAGCATCTCTTTCCATGCGAGGCCAACGGCTCCGGTGTTTTGTTTGGCCGTCTCGGGCTTCTACTTGACGAAGTTAGTGCGCAAAACCAACACATTAGAAGGATTCGGCGGGTCTGTTTCACGTGGTCGGTGCGTAAGAATGCATTGGACATGTTGCCGTCTACTGTTGCATCGCCAGCATGCGAAACTCGCTCGAGGATTCGGTGCACACACGCATGTGTGATGGTCCGGGAGGTCCGGGAAACCAGGATCAAAAGAAGAAACGCGTCTTCCAGCGTCTTCTTTACCGCAGTAGCTCCAGCTGCCATTTCTTTGCATGGTTGATAGCTCGTGCCGCTTCACGATTCGTCAACATGCCAAAAACTGTTGTCGGTTCGTGGAACGCTGGGATTTCCTCTTCCAGACTCATGCATGGGCCTTGCTTGGCATTCGGGCTGTGTCTGTATGCTTGCGGCAGTCATCGGATCGAACCTTTGCAAACGTTTGGGCATCTGAGCGCCGAACCCAGTGCAGCCGTCAGCTCTGCCGGGAGGAGACCCTTTTTCATCAAGGCCTGGACACTCCGGCACCAACCAAAGGCGAACTCTCTGATCCGCGCAGATTTTTCGTGGACTCGTGGGATGTTCCAAACTTGAAACGGCTCATGTGAGATCTGCGCCGTATTCTTCTGGCACACACAAGCTATAGTAGCAGAGCCATTGCAGGAGAGAGATGGCTGGACGGCTGGACGTGATCGAATTTTCACGAGACCGCCTTTTGCACTGCACAGCCGATGGAGACGAAGCTCATCGCAGGATGAAGGCGCTCCTCCAGCCATGAGCAAGGGGCACAATCTCGACAAGTCTTGTCTCCTTGGGAATCGGAGCCCACAGTCCGAGGCACTTCGACAAGAACGAGGAAGCCAAGGCGAGGGGCACCCGCCTCCGCCTGTGAGCTTGTGCACAAGGGCCCTGCAAGCAGAAAATTTGAGCGTTTAGTCGGGGAACGAGGGGAATGTTGGAAGACTGATCGAAGCCGGCTCGATTACGGCTCTTCCCGCTTGCGACACTCTGCAAATATCGACACGCGACCCTGAAGGACTCAATTTGCAACGAAGTCTGAAGGCTGGATCAAGGTCCAATCTTTAAGAATTCCGGGGCCGAAAGACCACATGAACCAGCATCGCCGCCACTGCAAATATTGTCGGCGTCAGCGTCAGCCTTATGAACTCATTGTCGCGACAAAACCTGCCCTGCGCATGGGCGACGCCTGCTTCCGTAAGCGAGCTGCCGCTGGAGACCTGAGCTGCAAGAAGACGGGCGAAATCTCCAGCTTGTCAAAACAGACTCACGTTGACCACACCCAAGGCTTGCCACAATCTCAGCAAAATTCTCGTGTTGGGCGGCCCAGACATGCAATTGACAAGCTAAAGAGTTCTTTTACCCCACGGTTCTCGTCGTCATCACACAGACTCCATCCACTAAACCTACGCTTGGAGACGATATGCGATCAGGAAAACCACGGGTGCTGTGCGCCTCAAGCTGCGACAGCGCGTGGCGCAAATCATCAGGAAGCGGGTACACCTCAGCGACAGCTTCCAAACGAATAATTTCCAGCAAGGAAAACAATCTTCACCTCCATCGTCCCCATGGAAGCTGCAAAATCATTCCCGGCCGGCGAGACTCTGAGTGACCAGGCAGCGTATAAGGCCACAGCCGAGCGTGCATGTGGTTTCTAATCCCGAACACGAACCTGAAAGCTTACACAACAACCAGCAGACAAGCTTCACTCTGTCGTAAGCGCAGGCTGTAATTAAAGTCAACAATAGAAGTTAGTGGTGTCAGCGTGCCAACACGGCCTGCTCAATACTGGTGGCTAGATGGCAAAGGAATTCATCTGGCTCCACCTGCCCTGACATGGATGCCTCCCACAATCCACCCTCCCACACCGACCAGGTTTCCGGGCCATGACCGCCGGATAGGTAGTGTCTGCCCACCTGCTGTGCTGCAAAGTACTTTGATATTTTCTTTCAGTCCTCCGACACATGCCCCAGCTGTGCGGGTGTGTAGAACCTATCTCGCGACGCGAAAGCGCAAAGCAATGAGGCATTGTCATGGTGTTCCTGATGCTGTGGTCTTGCAGGGTTTCGGGCGCGATCCTCTGGACTAAGTTCACAAAGACCCAGCAGTCCATGAAAGCCCGAATGCTCTGCAATTCGACATGCAAAACAAGCCTGATCTTGCGTCTTCCTATGTCTGATGTGGAGCCTGAGCTGAAGCATCCTGTTTGTTGTGCCGTAGCATGTATGCCCCAAGCTGGATGCAGCCAGCTGACACAGGCACTCTCATCACTACCATCAGCCATCAGTAAAGCAACATCGGCAGTTGCGCACTGCTGCAGGGACGCTGAACGATACCGAGTAAAGCTGGCTGCCTCACAGCTCAGCCGATTCTATAACCCTTGTGGCTCCCAGTCCTGATGCTGTCTTGATGGTGACTATGCATAACAGGCATACCACTCGAGCGATAACCCCACGCGATGAAGGCGCGAGAAATGAGCATGGTGATCATTACGACATTGCCTGGTTCTGGTCAGGCTACGATGTTGACAATGATTGCGCTGTTGATGACTGCTATAGTCATCACCAAGGTTGGTGCCATCGCTACTGCTTATTCATAGCAATTGCCATGTCACTAGGACTGGCGCTACAGCGTTTCGTGTTTTTGAGCGGAAGACATTGATGCATCCCAAACCACACACCACTTATTCTATAAACCAGAACCTCAAAAGCAAGCCTAGGCCCTAACAAACCCTGAACACGAGGCTTAAACCCTGAAGCCTTAAACCCCAAAAGCCCCAAACCCTAAAATCCTGAAATCCCAGGCCCAAGCCACCACCAAGGGTCCGAGAGAGCCGTGGCCAAGCCGTGGAAGAAGGGACGGCCACCAAACCACTGCTCGGTCCTTCTACTATTGTATCATATTAAACTGTGTTAGATTATGCCATCTTATTCCATATTGTGTTATGTACTGTATGATGTTATATTTTTACATCGTACTGTACTATATTGACTGTTCTACAAGGGCCTATATAGAAGGGTTCACAAGGGTTCTTGAAAGGCTTAGAAATAAAGTTGTCGGCTGGTTTAGGTCCGGTCTTGGGTCTGGAGCCTTTCTCACCTCACAGGATTTGATGTTTGGCTTCGGGGGTTTAGGCTCATGGGGTGTCCTCAGTGTCCGGCTGAAGGGTTGTAAACGCAGGACTTTGAGAGTCTCGACTCCTCTTTGTCTGTTAGATAGCGCTCCATGAAAATCCTTAGTGAGCCTTAGTGGAACCCGTGACACTTGGAACGCTTGGACCTCGACTCCTCAAGCTTTCTTTGCTCGACTCCCCTAGCCTCGTAAACGGAATCTGGGATCTCCAGTGCCCTGTGTCATAGTGGCTTTAATCACTAGGAACAGGGCTTTGGGAATGTTGCACGTGTAAGAGGTTACATACATGGGCTATGAGGGCATGCCATTACGAATCATGCCGACCCCCAAATTAGCAGAGCCGTCCTGCCCTCCGTTGGGCCGTTGCTGTCCCCCAGTGCGGCACGACCCCAGGCCATCGGCAGCAAACCCCTCCTCGGAGAAAGCAGGATCTGTCATGGTGTGTAAAGCAGTTGCGAAAGGAGCCCTGAATACCAAAGAGCCAGCTTACCCGGTGCGATGAGGATGAGTGTCTCCCAATCATCATCAGCATCAACAACAACGCCATGGTCATGATCAAGCATGGCAAGTCATTACAATGACAAGCATGAACCTGAAATTCAAGCACTACTAATTAAACGTCGTCACGATGCATGCACAGGGCAAAGTAATCGAATCGTGGTTGAACACCATAACAAGTGCGACGGTAAATACGTGTTCCTTCGATGCGTGCCTGGACAAAGAGATGGCGCGCAGCGCTGGTTCAACTACTATGTGTCGTTTCTCAAGTCGGAGATGCCACTTACTGCATGCGTCGAGAACCCTTCGATCATGAGAGTCCCGGAAGGGCCTCTGCTTATGCATGTTGACGATGGATTGACCCTCGGACCGCTGGAATGGCTCAAACAGAAGTACATTCCCGCGTTAAAGACGAAGTTCGAGATTTCTGTCGAGATTGACTACAGACTTGGCGATACATTTTCTTTCTTGAAGTGCAAACACACTATTTTGGAATCTACTGCAATGACACTACAGATCTACGACATTTTACTATCCAAAATCACAGGATAATTCCACAGCATGGGTCGCATGCCTCCAGGCCGCATGTCCATGACACGGTGCTTCAGCAAACTTTTGTAGGACTTTGGACGCGTAACCCGAAGTCGAGTGCTCATAAACTCACACCACGAAATGGTAGAAAAAACAATCATAGACACATGCTAATGACAATGGAAATGCTCAGAATCATCAGCCCCCTTTCGAAACCCGATACCGAGAGCTCGGCTCGCCGCCAAGTGCCGAGCCAGCAGCCTGATCGGCGCTTTTCAGGGCTCAGAATTCTGGCTTGAGGGCATGATGACTGAGATTGGGTTTAGGGTTTAGGGTTTTAGGGTTTGGGGTTCAGGGCTTGTGGTCTCGTAGGGTTTTGAGTGCAGCGTCCTGAGGGCCTATATTTCTGCTTGGAGGTTATCTGCAAGTGATGCAAAAGCTTTTGCAAGTTTATCCCACCACAGCCTGTACAAATTTACCTCACCACGACGATATTCGCGATCTCCTTCTATCTGTATAGTATAGCCATCTGTAAAGGTGTATATATGTGTATGTATATATATATATGTATATATATATATATGTATAGGTACACACAAACACACACAAGTAGACACACATGTCTCTCTATGTGTCTTTGCTTATATGTCAGTCATGTATGTATGACGAAAATATACAAGGGTCATCAAGCAATCCATGTTGTTGGATCTCTTGTGCTCGATTGTGTTCGTGTTCATGTTGCCTCTGCTTGTGGGCACCAGAACCATAAGTTCGTGGGCTTCATGCCGAGATCTGCAAGCACTTTTTCGGAGAGGCATGGCATGACAAGGCTGGTGTGGGCCTGCTGGGACTGAGGCCACTTGTAGCAAAGCTGCTGCAGGTCCAAGCGACCCGTCTCCGTCTGAAGTGCCGTCGGAAGAACATCCAAAACATTCCTGCGCTCCCAGGTGGCTTTCCGAAAATCTGAAGCTTTCTCGTGAAGGCGGCTCCACGGCCTTTTTGCCTCGATTTCTGCTGCACTGGTCCAGGTCACAAGGAGCTCGCCGGGTGTTGTCAGAACCGGCTCGAACCGGCCCTCTACAATCGAGTGACAGTGAATCTGCTCCCCTCTCTTGGCGTTCACGACACTAGAGCTTTGCTTCGTGAATATGCTGCCATCTTGGAGAAGTAGCACATGCGACGAGATCTTGTGTTCCCAAAAGTACCATCCAGAGTTGCGGACCGTCTCGGACTTGACAAGGGAGAGGCAGTGTTCTTGCTTCAGGTAGCCAGGTGGAAGCTCGAGAGCATGGGTACAAGTGAGGCTTCTGATCAGGTCTTCTGCGAAGCCTTCAAGAAGGTTGCAACGAACTCGAACCAACGTAAGCGTGACCTCTTCATCGCCGTCCTTTGGCTGGATCTCGCCCGTGATGGAGTGGCCCGCCGGCAGAAGCTGGTCAAGGCTACTGCAGTCCAGCCTTTGTAAGAGATCTGCACCAGTGGGCAAGGGCAAAGACACATCCTCCCTGAAAAGGACCTGCCCGTTAAGGTCGCGCACAATGATGACAACCATACAAAGGCCGCCTGCAAAAAAAGGCGGCTTGAGAACTAAACTCAGAGATGTGTGTGTGTGTGTGTGTGGAGGCTTGGATCTTTTTGTACGAGTTCTATAACATATCCCAGAACCCTATTCCAAGTTGTAAGAAGCCCCGCATGTTTGCTGATCCCTCGTTTGCTCCTACACGTCCTACACTTGTCGAATCTCCGGGAGCAGAGCATCGACCGAAAATCATGGTGCTTAAGGCTGGAACCACGATCATGTTGTTGTTTTCTTGCTAACTAATTTATACCATCCTTCCTAAGTTATGATGATGGGCATTACTTTTGGGTACCAGTACTATTATTAACTACGAGTCCATGATTATCATCGTTGTTGCTTTGTTCATTCGGCTTTCGAGTACTATTGCTGTTACTACTGCTGCTGCTGCTGCTGCTGCTACTGCTGCTGCTGCTACTACTACTACTACTACTACTACTACTACTAGTGCCACTGTTACTGCTACTGCTACTGCTGCTGCTGCTGCTGCTGCTGCTGCTGCTGCTAGCTGCTGCGGCTACTACGGCCACTGCTGCTACTGCTGCTACTACGGCTACTGCGACTGCTACTGCTACTGCTACTGCTACCCCTAATCCTACTCCCACTCCACCACCACCTCCTTCTATACTAGTACTAGTACTAGTGCTACTAGTACTACTCGTGCTACTCGTACTGCTCGT